CACCCAGAAGAATGCCAGTGAGCCTACAGAATAAAGTTAAAGTACTTGTTCCTAATTACAGCTTTAACCTGTATTCAATGTATCTCTTATTTGCAGTTCTAGTTCTTACTCATTGACTGCCAGCTCAACATAATAACTGTTATTTTAAATCACAGCCAAAGGTTTTTCCCCACCCGTTTGAAAGTTCATTTAAACCTTGGGCTGGCCTGTGTTTCTATAGGAAAATTAGTCTAAATTGATAAAGATGCAGGAGAGAAATGCCATGCTATAAAACTTTATAAGTGTTCACAAGCCAGGCATGGTGGCACACTCCCGTAAACCCAGGAGCTTGGGAGGCTGAGGCAGGAGGATCACAAGTTCAGAGTCAGTCTCAGCATCTTAGTCAGACCCTGTCTCAAAAATTAAAATTAAAACAGAAAGTTTTGACTATGCCTATGACATTTTTCATACTTCATTCCTGTGTCAAGTTACTCTAGCATCAATCCATATTTCTTCAACAGTAAAAATAGAATGATTTTCAAAATTCATATTTTCCATCTTATCAAAAGAAAACTTGTTACATGACATTGAAACTGAAAACAATAATAATAATAACTTTATGTCAATGTCTCTGATTCTCTGCCTGGTAAAACTGCTTCCCTAAATCCTTCCAGCCCCTGCCTACAAATAAAAATAAAAATTAAAAAATTCAATTGAGATTAACATTTGAAACATATAATAAACATAAAAAGAACAAATTTTCCTTAATGATTGATGTCAAATGCTCCCCAATTTTTCTAATTGTTTTCTATACATTGTTTTCTTACCCAGCCAGAAACCATGAGAAGGTTGCCCAGGAACAGAAACCAAGACAGAGACCATGAATCCATGTTGTAGCTTCCAGTTGAAAGTTGCAAACTATGACRTTCAGAGTAGAGTTGACTTTTTCAAAAGCAAACATCATAACTTATAGCCTTTGATCTCAATGATCCATCTTGCAGGTCAGTTTGCTACGGTAATAACCTCTAATCAAGGAGATAAAGTCCAGTATCTCCAGTACACCTCTGTGGAGGCTCCCCCCACCCCCACCAACATTTAATAGCTAAGTGCCTGGATAAGGCCTATTAATAAAACACATTCTCTAACATATATGTTCTGATTCTAAGACTACTACTTGAACACAAGAAAATATCAAATTTTCAATTTTGCTTTTTCAAATAATAAACATATATGAACCTTCTTTCTGTCTGTGTAGCCCTGTGAGGCTTTAACGTACACAAGTTATGTCTGATACTCTTTATCATTCTTTTGTCTCTTAAAAATCTATTGGGCTGAGGATGTAACTCAATGGCAGAGTACTTTGCCTGGAAAGTGTAAAACCCTAGATTAGGTCCCCAGCATCAGAAAAAAAAAATTGTGGATTGCCTATAATTTATTTATTTATTTATTTTTATTATTAGTTGTTCAAAACATTACAAAGCTCTTGACATATCATATTTCATACATTTGATTCAAGCAGATTATGAACTCCCATTTTTACCCCATATACATATTGCAGATTCACATCTGTTACACCTATAATTTATTGAGTTATTAAAACTATTAATGTGTCTAGAAAATAGGCATAGTTGATATTCATATATAAAGTAGAAAATAGTGACATATCTCACTCCTGAACGTTCTTATCAAGTAAATATACACGAGAATTAGGGTTAAAAGGGTAGGAATGGTCACTGATTTTCTAATAAAATGATGTTTCCAATCCACTTCATTTTTTTTTCTTCTTTTCTTGGAATAACTGCTCTTTAGAAACAACAAAATTCTGAYTCAATCTCCACGGTTTCACTTACTGACAGAATCATAATTTTGAAATACTAAATTTTTTCAGTTTTTCATTCCCCTCTCTTGCTTGGTCTTTGCCCTATTTTGGGCTACTAGAAAGGACATGGAAAAACATGTAGTATGGGCAAAGGATTTGAGAAGATGCTTCTTTTGTTTTTCTTTTAATTATTTTATTTGTTCTTTTTAGATATACATGACAATAGGATGTATTTTGACATATTATCCATACGTGGAGTATAACCTATTCTACTTAGGATCCCATTCCGTGGTTGTGCATGATGTGGATTTACAATGGTCGTGTATTCATACATGAACATGGAAAGTTAGGGCTGATTCATTCTATTGTCTTTCCTATTTCCATCTCCTCTCCCTTCCCTTCATTTCCCTTTGTCTAATCCAACAAACTTCAATCGTCCCCCACCTTATTGTGTGTTAGAATTCACATATCAGAGAGAACATTCAGTCTTTGGTTTGGGGGGATTGGCTTATTTTACTTAGCATGATTGATTCCAGTTCCATCCATTTACCAACAAATGCCATAAAATTTCATGGAAGATGCTTCTTGTATACAAGCAAACTATTCCCACCCTGAGAGGGTAGGTGGAGGGTTAAAAAGGAAAGTTTAAGATGGTAGGTATTGGTCAATTCCTCCAGCCATGCGAGGTGGTGCACGCCTGTAATCCCAGCAGATCGGGAAGCTAAGGCAGGATGATCACAAGTTCAAAACCAACCTTAGCAATTAAGTGAGGCTCTAAGCAATTTAGCAAGACCCTGTCTCTAAGGAAAATATTTTTTAAAATGGCTAAGAATGTGGCTCAATGGTTAAGTGTCACTGGGTTCAATCTCCACTACCAAAAAAAAAAAAAAAATCTAGATCTATCCCTCACTATTGAGTATCTGAGACTTCCCCAGTAGCTGGTATAATCCAAAAGCAAATAGGTCTATTATCTGGGTAGAGTCCCAGGGAAACAATATAACAGAAGAAAGGATGTCTTACGAAAAGGAAGATAGGTCCTGTGAGGGCAAGACTGGCACGGTAGTACAGGGAAGGTCACCAGCCCTGAAGGACTATGTGGATGGGAATAAGGCTGTCCTCTAGACAGATTACACAGGATGATAACCAAGGGACAGACAGAGGGACTATTCCAAAGGATGTCTAAATGTGAATTGATGGCACCGAGAATCAGATGAGGCCCTCCCAAAGCCTTGGGTCAATTAAGCTTAGGCACAATCCAAAGGCTAAAAAATTTTATGTGAATGGCTACAATTAAATCTCTATCACCTACATGGATGGGTACCTCAACTGATAATTACTGCTACAGAAAAAAAATATTTATGCATATCTGTTTTGGTGAACTGAAGTTTAGAACTGAAAGACGTGACTGCACTGTGTGTATTGGGACAGGCAGCTCTTATCACCTGAAGTTAGGAAAAGCGGAAGCAGGATGAGCAGCACCAACAGTTTCTAGGATCTCAAAAGCTATTTTAAGCCCTGATGATAGCATATTAGCAGCGCCTCATGCAGAGTCTCATGGGAAGTTACTGAGGCATTGCTGAAGCCAACTCCAAAAAATGTATTTTGCCTATAATAAATGTGGTGATGTCTTTTACATTTCCTTCTTTTCTGGGTTGTCAATGCAACTCTACTGCAGAAGATACTCTTGACAGTTCTAGCAAACCTCCATCTTCCATCACTTGTATTCTGCCCCTTGGAGGCTTCTACAAGCTTCACAATGACCTTTGGAGTCTAATCCCAGGAAACGGTCTCTGACTCTGTGAGTCCACCTGTGGTCTTTATTTCTCCCAGGCAATAACATTAACAGGAAACCCAGGGCTTGAGACATTAGGACTTATACATTGCACAGAAATCCACTGGAATCACCAGGAAAGCATGTTTCTTTTAGAAAACTGATTCTCAAAATCCCCAAAGAATATGAGTATACTCTAGACCTGAGGGTAATCAAGAAATAGCATAGCAAGTACAATGAAAGATCCCAAAGACTTGATGTTTTTCTTCTCTCAAAGCCTATATTATTGGATGGGGGGCTCTACTGGGGATTGAACCCAGAGCCTTAAGTAACTGACTAGAATACTTAAGGTTATAGTTGAGAAATAAGAGTTGGCATTTTCTGATTTTCTTTTTCATTTTCTTTTCTTCTTTTGGGGGGCTCAGGATTGAACCCAGAAGTGCTTTACCACTAAGCCACATCCCCAGCCCTTTTTATTTTCTATTTTGAGATAGGGTCTTCAAGTTGGTGAAGCTGGCCTCAAATTTGATCCTCTTCAGCCTCCCAACTTTCTGGCATTACAGGCAAGTGCCACCATGCCTGGCTACAAAGCCTGTTTTCTTTACCTGATTCTCTCTCTCCCTAAGAAAAAAAAAAAAAGTGTAAGTTAGGTCATGAGTTTCTCAATACTAGCTCTTCATGGAATCTGATAAATGCTTCTATAAAATATTGAGAAGGTACGTACATTTGAATTTAAATGAAACTAAACAGATCTAGAAAAAAGGTAAAGGATAAATGTGGAGTGATTGTAGAAATCCCTGGGAACATAAATTACTAACCAACTAAAGAACAAAAGAGTTCAAAGTCACCTGCCCAAGACCCCTGCATTGTTTGGTGTTACACATACTAAACATTTTTTCACAAGATATTGTGAATTCCTCCCCTCAAATTAAATTGCTCACCCCATGTTTCAAAATTGTTATGTTATTTATCAATCAGGGTTTTCCATATCAACATAACCATAGGATGTGTATATAGATATTTATTTTAAGGAACTGACTGACGTGACGTAAAGGCTGGCAAGACCACACTGTGCAAAGGGTGGCCAGCAGACTGGAGACCCAGGTAGGAAATGAAGTTGCCGATAGAGGATCAAGAGTGTTGGCTGGCAGAGAATCTTCCTCCCCCTCTGTCTTTTTTACTCTTGAGGCCTACCCACATTATAGAAGATAACCTGCTTTACTCAAAGTCTACTGAATTGAATATTAATCTTATCTATAATAAAACACCTTCACAATAATATTTAAATTGATGTTTGACCAAATATCTGGATACTATTGGCTGGCTATAGCCTAGCCAAGTTGACATAAGATTAACCATCACAGTTCCTTCCTTAACTTGATCACCTGTTCATAGGGTACCTATCTGTCAGACTGTAGGTCATATTTTCATCTCTTAAAACTATTGACTTCACTGCCAGTCACAACCCAGGCTGAAGGCAAAGACACTATCCACTGTTGTCATGATAATTGAGACCAACAACACAGTCCCATCTTCAATGACCAGAAGTAACACTTCACATTTTAAGAAATCAATTTGAGCAGGCACAGTGGAGCATGCCTGTAATCCCAGTGGCTCAGGAGGCTGAGACAGGAGGATCATGAGTTCAAAGCCAGTCTCAGAAAAAAACAAGGCACTAAGCAACTCAGTAAGATCCTGTCTCTAAATAAAATACAAAAAATTAGGGCTGGGGAGGTGGCTTAGTGGTCAAGTGCCCCCGAGTTAAATCCCTGGTACCTGCAACACCCCCCCACCAAAAAAGAAAAAGGAAATTTGAATGAGGCAGTGAGGAAAAGTTCTATCCCTGCCTAGGAAGATCCTACCTATTCCAACCACCTGGACCCCATTTCAAAGTCTTCTGCTGGGAACCAACACACAAAGGAACAGTGGGGAGAAACCCCTGCAATGTGACTAGGTAAACAGCTTCCTCCTCCTACAATAAGAACACCAGGTGACTTATAAAATTTGACAAGCCTAATCTAGTTCAGCCAGCTTCATGCTGTTACGAATTTAGCCCAAGCTGAAATGGTCTAATAGTGGGCATTAGCTGACTTTGTGATGGAAAGAGTGACATCGGAGGCCACTCCTAAATTAACAGTGAGACTGTGAAGGGGATTCTACTCAATTCTACTACCTCAAACTCAGTTCCAATTAACTGCAAACACCCACAAGGAGAGATAAATCATTTCCATTTTGATTGCCCTTATGTATGGCATTTATTACCAGATTTATTTATTTGTTTGTTTGTTTATTTGCTTTTC